TGAGATCCCTACACTTATTCAATTATTATTATTGAAACTATATGCATTATCTCATTTAATCCTTACAATGACCCTGTAAAGGAAGACACTACTATTATTTCCTTGTGTTTCTCAGATGAAGAAACTAAGGCTTACAGAGGAATTAACTAGCACAAGTTCAAATGGTTAGTAAGTGGCAAATCAGGATTCACACACAAGGCTGTGTTGTTCTATATCCAGAGCACCATGAGCACTATGCTCTCGTGCCTTATTTAAAAGTGATTGTGTTGGGCTTCCCTGGTGGCGCAGTGGTTGAGAGTCCGCCTGCCGCCTGCCGATGCAGGGGACGCGGGTTCGTGCCCCGGTCCGAGAAGATCCCACATGCCGCGGAGCGGCTGGGCCCGTGAGCCATGGCCGCTGAGCCTGCGTGTCCGGAGCCTGGGCTCCGCAACGGGAGAGGCCACAACAGTGAGAGGCCCGCGTATCGCAAAAAATAAAAAAAGTGATTGTCTTGATTGATCTTTTTGCATTTATAATTGGATTTATGCCCTTGCTTTATGTTATTAAATTCATGAAGTATATATGCCAACCAAATTCTGCTTTATAATGGTGGGCACCCATTTGTTTTCTGAAAATCCCAAATCTGAAGCCAAGGGCCAGGTGTATTTTGTCTTTTCATAAAATATATTCCACAGCATGTTTATCATTTTAGATAGAATTCATTCTTGTTTCTTCCAGGATTTTGGCCTTGTGGTCACAGTGTGCAAGAAGTTTATAGCACATTAAATTAAACCCAGAGCCAATTAAATACTCAAATATATTGGTTTTTTTAGATTCCCCCAATAAATATTTTATCTTCTCTATTTATTGAGTGTATCCTATTTTCCAAGCGATGTGTTAGATACTTGGAATACACCTTTACTTGTGGTTGGCCTTGAAGAGTAGTGTGTGTGTGTGTGTGTGTGTATATATATATATTCAGGTAGTTGTGTCAGTGTTGGTTGATAAATATTGAAGAATTCTGTGAGGCAGTTCCTTGAAATCAGCCATGCTAGTAGTATTTACACCACAGAAATCTGTTAATGCTATAAATCAAGTTTGGCTTTTGTTGTTCAGCTTTTTTCCATGGGGGAGGGGAGAAAAAGTGACCACTGAATTTAGAAAGCCTGCATTTCTGTTAAGGAAGAGATAAAATCATGTGCTGAGAATGGAGAGTAATGGCGGTGGTAGGTGACTTGAAAAGAGTAGAAATGTTTTAGAACAGCTGTTCAGAAAAATAGGAAAGAGAAGAGACTGAGACCACGGTGGAATCATACATTTGTTTCATGCATATAGATAATTATTTGGAAGGAAAACTGAAATTGTAAGTTGCCATGTAAAAGTGGTGAAACTGTGACTTTTATATGCAATTTAGATGCTTTGGGTAATGAATAAAAATTAAAGAAAATGAAGGTTTCTAGTTAATTGGCTGTTCCATTAAATTAGGTGGAAGGGAGCTATGTGGGATAAGTCTGCCTCTGTCTAAGGTTGAAATCTCTTGCAGTTTTGTTGCGCATAATTGTATTAATCTGTAAATTAAGCGTTTTTATTTATTTATTTTTAAATTTATTTTTTTATTTTTGGTTGCTTTGGGTCTTTGTCAATGTACACAGGCTTCCTCTAGTTGCAGCAAGCGGGGGGCTACTCTTCGTTGTGGTGTGTGGGCTTCTCATTGCAGTGGCTTCTCAGGTTGTGGAGCACGGGCTCTAGGCACGCGGGCTTCAGAAGTTTTGGCTCGCGGGCTCTAGGCACGCAGGCTTCAGTAGTTGTGGCGCACGGGCTTAGTTGCTCTGCAGCATGTGGGATCTTCCCGACCAGGGCTCGAACCCGTGACACCTGCATTGGCAGGCGGATACTTAAGCACTGCGCCACCAGGGAAGTCCCTAAGTGATTTTAAAAGTAACAAAGATGCATTCCATTTGGATAATGTATTACTCTTTTCTTTTTTCTTTTTATGATTCAGAGCCTGATTTTTTTTTTTAACATCTTTAATGGAGTATAATTGCTTTACAATGGTGTGTTAGTTTCTGCTTTATAACAAAGTGAATCAGCTATATGTACACATATATCCCCATATCCCCTCCCTCTTGAGCCTCCCTCCCACCCTCCCTATCCCATCCCTCTAGGGGGTCACAAAGCACCTAGCTGATCTCCCTGTGCTATGCAGCTGCTTCCTACTAGCTATTTTACATTTGGTAGTGTATATATGTCAGTGCTACTCTCTCACTTCCTCCCAGCTTACCCTCTCCTACCCCTGTGTCCTCAAGTCCATTCTCTTCGTCTGCATTCTAGCAGCTTCACTGAAATACAGTAATATGTCACCAGAGATCAACAATAAAGGAGATCAAAAGAGATATTACACAGTGAAAGCACTTGGTAAAGTATGTGTTACTCTACCAAGTGCTTTCACTGTGTAATATCTCTTGATCTACTTTATTGTTGATCTCTGGTTGACGTACTACCATTAGAGAAATAAGATGAGATATGTAGGTTCAACAAATAACAGGGCAATGAAAAGTCATTGTAGATGAGTTACAAAAAATATAAATTTGTCTTGTATCCCTGAACTAAATAGATCTACTTTGAATCACTTTCTTCAGATCAAAAATATAAAAGTAGAACTTAAAAAAAGCTATATATCTTTTCTAGAAATAACAGTTAAAAGGCTCAAACGTAAGTCTCTATTAACTTGCTCTCCTAGATTGGCGATTTCCCAATTTATGGGTCTGTATGTTGTCTGTACATATTGAGTAGATATTCTACTCCAACATCAAAAGCATTGGTGAATGATTTCAAAGCTAATTGTCAAGCTTTCCTAGTTAATTGCTTAAAAGAATTCAAGCGGCAGTTTTTAAGTACAGAGATTTGGTTTCTTAGGAAGAAAAATCTCTTGACATTCCAGCCTTGAATTTGGTAGTTATTACTAGAATGAACATTTATCATGTGGATGGCAGTCAGCTGGCTCTTCCTGAATTTAGAAAAATAATCCAAAATACATTTAACTCTTGGGAACTTTAACACACTTTTCTAGAGCTTTGAGGGCATGATAGCCACAACAGTAATAGTTGTTTAGAAATCTGGGGGAAGTCAACATTTTTGAGCATTCTTAGAATGACCTTTACAAACCAAACTTTTGAGGCACTTTGAATCTTGTAAGGTGACTTTTTCAAGGCACTGCTGTTCTTTCTTTTTAATGAATATTCCAATACTTTGAAGTAAAATAGCCTTTTGGGGAGTTGTAACTATATAGTGCAGCCTAAGCTAATTTTACCATGTAAGAATTAATGTTCTGTGGAGCTAAACCATTACTGACAAATTACAAAAATGCCTAATTGCTTAAAGGTGCACAGTTCACAAATGTGTGGCTGTTTGAGGGCATGCTTTAACAGATGACTAGGACACTTAGAATGTCCTTTCAAATTATATCTTAAATGGAATACATTAATTTTTAGTATTGTTTTTAAATGTATAAATTCTCAAAGGTTAAAAAAAAAAAGGTAAAGACAGGGAAACTGCTCTTTCTGCCAATGGATTTTTCATCTCTTTTAGTGTACTCTAATTATACCTTGATTACTGTGAATGTATTTTTTCTACTTTAGAAAATAAATGTTTTATTTTCAAATAAATGAAGATGTTCACTAAAATACTGCTGTTAAATTTTAGATGAATTTATTACAAGGAGAGTTCAGAGTTGATTTTTTGTATTTTGTCTTAGCTTCTGTACTTAAATTGGGCATAACACTCACAGAAGTAGACTCAAAGAACATTACTGAGGCTATCCTTTGTGATAGGAACTGTACAGATAAATTATCACATTCAGTCTCTAAACTCTGTTAGTATGCTTATTTCAGAAATACAATATTTCAAAAAATATAATACAAGTTGGGCAGTATTTACAGTAATGGAGATAAAAATTGGAATGATTACCACCTATAGACACAGTTTTCTTCTTCTTTTCATTATGTATCAGTTGCTTCTGTACCAAAAAGTGTTTGGTTTCAGCAGCGACAGTTCCTATAGACCCTGATACATGGGCTTTTGCTTTCCTGCTTCAAACTCAGTAAGGAAACATGAGAGCTGGAATCAGGGTCCACTATTTGCCTGTGGAATACTGAGCAACCCAGAGGCCACATAAGACTATCCGGTTGGTAGTTGGAGAAGGTGAGGGACCCAAGCATTGGCTTTTGGAAATCCTTCATTGCCAGGATTTGTGTTATAAACAAAAGTGCCCAGAAAGTTGAGACCGATCATGGAAAAACAGTGTCTTAGAAAACAAAACAGAGTTTTGAGTGGAAAGTGAAAATTCAGCCTGTTTAAAACTATGGCCATATCACAGAATGAGAGTTCAAGTCTGTCGTCCATGAGGTAGAGGTAGTCCAGCCCAGTGGTTTCCACATCCTTTTTAAATAGCCGAATTACTTTCATTCCAAGTAAAATTTTACCCTATGTTTCAATATAACAAAGAGTGGTGGTGTTTATTTTGCAGGGAAAAATTTAAGCTTTTCATTATGATAAATTTCATCAATTAAAAATAATTAGGTACTTTAGATGAACACAAGTATTTGAAATATTGATTTTCAAGTGATATTTGCCGTATGCATCCAGTCTGTTTCTCAATTTTGTTTTGGTTACTCAGTGAGTAAATATGTGTGGTATATAACAGATTCGATTGTGTGCGCTCCTTTTGGTTTTGAAATTTGTTTTTAAAAATTCAAACCAAATATTTGCACAACTGTGATTCAGTTCAGTAATACAACTGAAAAAACTGGGATCGTGGAGGTCCATTTCCTTGCCAGTAACACAAGGACTAGCCTCAGCATAGAGCTTGTTCCCCTGATATTTTTTTTAAAAGCCACCCTGACTTCTCACAATGAAAGCATTCATTCATTCTCATGTTCTTCCTTTTTTTTTTTCTCCCTCTCTTGGTCCCTCAAAAAGTAACTTCATGTATATTTACATCACTGTTGATTTTTCTATTATAGGAGCGGCAGAAAAGAGTTCTAAGCATGGTGCGGAAGACAAGACTCAGACCATTATTACAGCCATGAAAGAAAGAATGAAGATCAGGGAGACAAACAGGCCAGAGGTGTTTGAAGTAATTCAGGAAATGTTTCAGATTTCTAAAGAAGATTTTGTGCAGTACACAAAGGCGGCCAAACAGAGTGTACTGGACGGGACATCTAAGTGGTCAGCAAAAATAACCATTACAGGTAAAAATAAGTCTTTTTTAAAATTTTCATTCCATATTGAGATTTTTATATGTCTTAGAAATCACTGCTACTGGTAGTTACAGGTAAGATAAGTAGAATTTTTCAATCTTGTCAATATTGAAGTCTAATTGGTACTTCAAATTTCTGAAATGTGTACTAGATAATTGAAATCATTTCAATCTATGTCTTGTTCTAATCAAAAGCGCTTCAAGAGGAAGAAAGTTCTATTTTGTAATATACTCATCAATACCCTGCAGTTTACAAGAGACTAGCTTTGTTGCTGCCTGCCACTGATAAATGACAAGAGTAGCCAGTAATCTCTTCGGTCAGTTTTTCTTAATGAGAAAACAAATATTGTTTTATATACTCCTGGATCGGTATCCCTCATTCATTTGATCCTTGATTTGGCAATCTGAGTTTAGTGATGTCTAATAACTTGAACTTCTGAAGTTGCTTGTAAGTAACAGCAACTGCATATATTACATGTTGATATTTACCACGCCTTTTAACTTACTCATATTGTATTCAAAAGGTAAAATAAAGAAGCTTCTCTTACTGAGTTGAGTTGATCAATACTGACAGTAAATTCATAAATAAATAAATACATTTTAAATCATAGACCTTTGAATTACATTGGGTAATTTGCTTATTGTATGTGCATTCTCATTTATCTATACATGGTGCAGTGATATATATGAGTATATAGCTAATATGCATATGTATGTATACCACTACTGTTCATTACAGGCAAAAGCAAGTATTCATGAAAGGAAGGTTTTAATGTTCCGTGATTCATTCTTTTCTTAAACATTTTGTTAAGTCCTGTTGCTCATGAAAATGAAAGCAATGGAGTTGCATTGCAAAGCAAGGGGACAACGAAATAGAAAATGTTTCCTTCATTATCATTTTTTTTGTTTCTGAGGAAATCTTTATATTAAAAGTTTGAATTTGGTTTATTTCAGTGGTTTCTGCACAAGGCTTGCAGGCAAAAGACAAAACAGGGTCAAGTGACCCATATGTTACAGTTCAAGTCGGAAAGAACAAAAGAAGAACTAAAACCATTTTTGGAAACTTGAATCCAGTATGGGATGAGAAGTTTTATTTGTAAGTAAATAATGAAACTATTACAAATATTAAAATATTTCAGGATAAATTTAAGACAGGCATTCACAGTATGCAAGCAATAATTATCTCAGTTTTTAATTGTATCTATGCATAAATTATAAAAAAGTGAAACTAATATTATGAACTCAGTAACCTCATAATATTTATTATTTATTCTTCATCTTGGGAAGCAAGTGAATTAAAAAAAATATTACAAACAAAAAAGTTGGCACAGCTAAGGTGAGTTTGCAGGAGAAAAAAAAAAAAAGATTATGACATGATCTGTAACTTGGGTTGACCCAATCTAGTAAGGAATTTACAAGCTTGATTCAACAATAGCTTGGCATCTGAAGATTGATGACTAAAGACAATAGAAAGATTTGGGGCATCACCTGGCCCATTACAGCTACACCAGCCTGTACTGATGAAATTGTTGATGATAACTTTTAAAACCTCTCATTTTCTGTGAGGTCATTTATTTTAAACCTCTTATATCCTGTACCAAACAGCAAGAAATCATTTTTTGTCAAGGGTTCTTTTCTTTCTATTAGCCCTTTTTGGAGAGAGAGAAGGTAACGTCCAATTACCATTTGGTAGAAATGAAAAGCCCTAACTGTGAGTTTAAAGGCAGACTGTTCTTTTTCTCTCCTTCTTTCTTTGTTAATAGTTTACACATGGCTCTCATAAACATGCTAAATAAGCAAACTCAACACATACAGCTTGTTTGGGAATGTGGACAAGAGTATATATAAAATACAGAATTTCACATGTATATTGGCTGATGAAGGGAGTGTTAAGAAAAGGGTGTGGAAAATCAGTTGGGACCCAATAACAGAGAGTACCATGGAAAAAGTTAAGAGCTTTCTATGATTTCTACTTCAGACTGCTGGGAGAAACCATTTTAATATCTCTTTGTTTGTTAAGAGAAGATAAGAAATCAATTGATAGTCATAAATTCTTATTCCTAAGGCAGTCAAGTTAAGTGACTAAAGTAGGATGAGGGCAAAAAAGGGGAGGGACAAGGACTGTGGGAAACTTGAGAGCAAGTGACGTGGGAAAGAGACAGCTTCCACTGCCATGCAGTCCTGCAGCTGCAATGCAGCTAGAATTTCCAGTTTCTTAGGAGAAGCTGGAGATTTGAAAGTTTAAAAAGAACTTTATTGAAGTATAATTGGAAAAAAAAAGTCTACATCTTCATACTGTACAATTTAAGTTTTGACATATGTATACCCCATGAAGCTGTCACCACAGACAAGAAAATGAACATATCTGTCAACCCAAAAAGGTTCTTTATGCCCCATTGAAGCCATACCTCCTGACTGCCCCCGCCCATGCCAAGCAATCACTGGCTGGCTTTTTGGTGCTATAGAACCTTTTTTTTTTTTTTTTTGCATTTCTACAATTTTATGTGAGTAGATCTTACAGCATGCGTCCTTCTTTTGTGTGTTTTTTTTTTCACTCAGCATGGCTGTTTTGAGATCCATCCATGTTGTAGGGTTTAGCAATAATTTATTTCTTTTTATTGCCAGGTAGCATTTCATTGTATTAAAATATAACCGTTGGTTTATGCAGTCACCTTCAATGGCCATTTGGTATGTTTATAGTTTTTAGCTATTAAAAAATAAAGTTTTTGGGCTTCCCTGGTGGCGCAGTGATTGAGAGTCCGCCTGTTGATGCAGTGGTTGCTGGTTCGTGCCCCGGTCCGGGAAGATCCCACATGCCGCGGAGCGGCTGGGCCCGTGAGCCATGGCCGCTGAGCCTGCGCATCCGGAGCCTGTGCTCCGCAACGGGAGAGGCCACAACAGTGAGAGGCCCACATACCGCAAAAAAAAAAATAAATAAATAAAGTTGTTAAGAGCACTTATATGGACATATGTTTACATTTCTCTTGAATAAATACCTAAGGCTAGAATAGCTGGAACATATATTAGGAGCATGTTTAATTTTTAAGACTCTTCCTAAGTGCTTGTACCATTCTATATACATTTTCACCACCTATGTATGGGAATTCCAGGTCACACAAATCCTTACAATGTCAGGCCAGTCTTGGATTTTAGCCATTCTAATACATGTGTCTTGTTATCTTATACTGCTTTTATTTTGTACTTATCTAACGACTAATGATTTCAGGCATCTTAGAATATGTTTATATGTTATCCATGTGTCTTCATTAGTTAACTATCCAAGTATTTTGCCCATTTTTATTTTTGTGTGTTTTTATTTGTATAAGTTTTATATTTTTATGTTTCACATATTGGTCTATGATACATTTTGATGTGATTATTTTTAATGTGGTATAAGTTATAGACCCAAGTTCTTTATTTCGCATATGGAAATCCAGTGGTTCCTGCACCATTTTTTGAAAACACTATCCTTTCTGTACTAAACTGCTTTTGCACCTTTTATAAAATTCTGCTTTCTGTGTATGTGTGGAGATTATTTCTGTTTCTGGATTTTTTATTTTGATCTTCTTCTCCATGTATATGCCACTACCACATGGTCTTGATTAGTTATAATTTATAATAAATAAAGTCTTAAAATCAGGTAGTGCTAGCCCTCCAACTTTTTCTTTTTTTCAAAGTTATTTTATTTATTTTAGAACCTTTGAATTATTTTCATGTGAAGTTTTTAATTGACTTATCGTTTTTCATACAAAAGAAAGCCTGATATGGTTTTGATTGCTTTATTGCCTTGGTTAAGATTTCCAGAATAATGCCAAGTAAAAGTGATAAGAGCAGACATCGTGGCCTTGTTCCTGATCTTAGATGGAAGACGTTCCTTTCTTGAATAACTGTGATATTAGCTTTGGGCTTATTGCAGATGCAAATTTTCCAGTTAAGACAGCCATCTTCTACTTCCAGTAGGCTAAGAATTTTGATCAGAAATCAATGTTGCATTTTGTCTAATGCTTTTACTGCATCTATTGAGAGAATCATATAATTCCGAATGTCATTTTTAAAACTTTACTTGGCCGATATTGTTCCATTGTCTTTGTGTTTGCCTCGCTTCCTTATTTTCAATGATAAATCTGTTGTCTTCTTTGCTACCTTGTACATGTCTTTTTCCCCCCATAATGGCTTTTAAGGTTTTGTTTTCTTTACTCACCTGTACAATTTGATTGCAGTGCGCCATGGTGTAATTTTCTTTGTGTTTCTGGTGCTTAGGGTTTATTGAGCTACTTGGGCCTGTGAGTTTGCAGTTTTCTTTAAATTTGGGGAAATTTTGGCCACTGTTTCTTTAAGTATTCTTTCTGTCCCTGTCTTCTGGAGAGTTCACTTATACATATATTAAGCCTCTTGAAGTTGTCCCACAGGCCACGGATGCGCTTATGTTCTCTCTCCCTCTCTCTCTGCCTCCCTTCCTTTCTCTGTGTTTCACTTTAAATTATTTCTATTGCTAGGCATTCAAATTCACTGACCTTTTCTTCTGTAATGTCTAATCTACTCTTAATCCAAGCCACTGTGTTTTTCATCTGAGACATTTATTTTCCATGTCAGGGAGTTCAAATTGAGTCTCTGTATCTTCCACATCTCTACTTAATTGTTTTTAAAATTAAGATGTTATTGGGGGGGAGGAGGTTCATAGGAAAATTGAGAGGAATGTGTAGTGATTTCCCATGTACCTGCTACCCCCACGCATGCATAGCCTCCCTCCATTATCACCATCTCCCACCAGCACGTGGGTATATTGTTACAATTGATAAACCTACATTGACACAAGATAATCACTCAAAATTCAGAGTAGACATTACCTTTCTCATAGTGTTTTACATTTTATACGTTTGGGCAAATGTATAATGACATGTATCCATCATTAGGGTATCGTACAAAGTACTTTTACTGCCTTAAAAATCCTCTGCGCTTCATCCATTCATTCCTCTTCCCTCGCCAAATCCTTGGCAACTACTGATCTTTTTACTGTCTGCAAAGTTTTGCCTTTTCTAAAACGTCATATAGTTGGAGTCATACAGTATGTAGCATTTCCAGATTGACTTTTTTTTTTTCACTTAGTAATATGCACTGAAGTTTCCTCTGTGTTTTTTTTCATGGCTCGATAGCTCATTTCTTTTTCAGCACTGAATAATATTTAATTGCCTTGATGTACTAGAGTGTTTTTATTCATTCACCTACTGAAGAACATCTTGGTTACTTCCAAGTTTTAGCCATTATGAATAAAGCTGCTATAAATATTCATATGCAGGTTTTTATGTGGACATAAATTTTCAGCTCCTTAGGATAAATGCCAAGGAGTATGATTGCTAGATTCTATGGTAAGGGTATGTTTAGTTTTGTAAGAAACGGCCAAACTGTCTTCCATAGTGTCTGGACCATTTTGTGTTCTCCCCAGCAGTGAATAACAGTTCTTCTTGTTCCACATCCTCTCTAGCGTTTGACATTGTCAGTATTTTGAATTTCGGCTGATCTGGTAGGTGCGTATGGTACCTCGTTTTAATTTGACTTTGATTTGAGACAATCCATGTGGAACATCTGTTCATTTGTTTATTTGCAATCCTGTTCATTATCTTTGGTGAGGTGTCTGTTAAGGTTTTCGGCCCATTTCTTTTTTTTTTTTTTTTTTGGGTTCGTGGTGCCTCTCCCTTTTGTGGCCTCTCCCGTTCCGGAGCCTGTGCTCCGGACGTGCAGGCTCAGCGGCCATGGCTCACAGGCCCAGCTGCTCCGCGGCATGTGGGATCTTCCCGGACCGGGGCACGAACCCGTGTCCCCTGCATCGGCAGGTGGACTCTCAACCACTGCGCCACGAGGGAACCCCCCCGGCCCATTTCTTAATCAAGTTGTTTATTATTATTGAGTTTTAAGATTTTTTTGAATATTTTGGATAATAGTCTTTCATCACATGTGCCTTTTGAAAATACTTTCTCCATGTCTGTGGCTTGTCTTCTCATTCCCCTGACATTGTCTTTCTCTACTTAGCTTTCTGATTCATGCAATACTTATAATAATTGTTTTGATGCCCTTGACTGACAATTCTAACATTTGTGT